GAGAGAGAGAGAGAGGTGGTCACCCTTTCCACCTGCCCCTCACCACACTTCTACTGGGGCCATCACCTTCCCCTCGTCCCCTCCGGTGCCTCGGCACTGTTAGGGCAGCTTTTGCCCGCTCCTACCAGCCACCTTCTCACTATTCCTTCCCCACAGGAACCCACCCTTCCCACCTTCAAAGCACCTTTTTAAGTGTTGTCTTCCTTTATTAGGAGGCAGGGACTGTCTTTCTGCTTGTATTTATATCCCTAGAGCTTAGCACTATGCTGGGCACACAGTAGGAGCTTCATAATTGCTCTTTCCCCTCTGCTCCAGGTATAAGTTGAAGCAATGGGAACGGATGTCTGCCCAGGAGGGCTCCTCCTGCAGGCTCACGGTCGTCTGGCCTCCCCATCTCCAGTCCTGAATATGTTGTATGTGCAGCTCCTGACCACTCCCACGCGCAGAAATCGTCTACGCTCCCTAGGCACGGGGACGTCCTGACTCTCGAATGAACTGGATTCCGCGAGGCAGTGTCGTCGTCAGCCTCCCTTTCTCTCCAGAAGGTCCAGCAGGACCAAAGTCAGGACGACCAGCGATACCTGGGATGCAGGGGCCGCCCTTGGCGTCTTTGACATCTGACCAGGTTCTAAGCGTTCCACAGCGCCTCCTCCTGCCGCCTTCGTGTTGAGACAGACTCTTCTCATCCACCCACATGCGTGGGGTAGACACGCCCCTTCACCAAGGGGTTTGAAGGTTGCCCTCCACCTGCTGAGATGGCTCTACCGGGGTGGGGCCGCTGCACACGCTACTGCTTCTTGGAGCCACCAGAGTTGGGTGGCCAGCTGGACACCAAAGGTGGACAAGCAGCCCTGAACAGGGCTCAGCGGTGCTCTGAGGGGCTGGTCCTCTGAACATCCCTTAAACGGAGGTCTTGTATTTCACCCTCAAAGTCAGAGAGAGTCATTGAAGGGGGAGGGGGAGGGTGTGCAACGGACCAGGACCAAGGGCACAGGAGGATGGGGGGGGGATAGACTGAAGAGCGGAAGGGGCCAAACAGCCAATTAGGGCAGTCAGGAGCCTAGAGAAGGTGGCCTTGTGAACACAAGGGCCAGAAAAGAGAGACTGTTGGAGTATGAGGTAACAGAGAGCACAAGTCAGAGCCAAGTGGTTGAGTTCAAGGGAATCATTTATTAAGTGAACTGGAGAAGCCCCATGCCTACCAGCAGACAGGGCCCTCGCGTCGACGTCACCTCGGCTAAATTGGGACTGTCCTTTCATTCAGAGAGAAGGTGGCCCGGGAACCCCCCCCCCCCCGTTGGCTGCCTCCTCTCCAGCCTGAGCACTCCCCTCGTCTCTCCCACCTGGGGAGGACCCCCCTCTTCTCACCTACCTGAACATCCCTCCTTTGTCCTCTCCATCCTTCTAAACCCGGCCCAGCTCACGGCCTGTCTCCTCCTAGGGACTGGAGACTCCTGTAGGACATAAGAGTTCTCAGTTATTCCACAGGTCTCCTCTCCGGTCTCACAATGCTCAGAGTGCCCTGAGATCAAGGGCTCTTCCCTTCCTGTCCCATCTCTCAACCTGGCCTCTCTCAGCCCCAATACCTCTACTTTTGAGTGCTGTTTAAATAAAGTCAATGAAACATCATCTTCTAAAATTAAAGTTTATTTTAACTTCACAAGGAAACCACAAATCTCTGAATTACACGAAGGACATTATTGAGAGGACTGTAGCCTGTAACTACAGCCTGGCACTTAAGAAACCGTGGTGCTTCACCTCGAGAGCGGCCCGGCTGGCCCTGTCCGCCAGGCTGGCCCACGGTCTTCCATGACACTTTGGGGAAACATTCTCCAACCGGTTACATTTCATCTGATTTGGTTCAACACTGAGTCAGAAAAGTGAGTCAATAGCCAGACTCTAGCCCATTGCATCAAAAAGACATTAATTTACCTCTAAAGCATCTTGTAAACAGTCATCAAAGCAGTCTGCTCTACACAAGGAGACGAAGAGGGTGGAAGGTGGGCAGCCAGGGCTGGAATGGGGATGGAAGCAACTACTTCTCTGCTGCCTCAGCACAGCACCTGGCATACACTAGGTGCTCAACAAATGTCTATGGAATGGGGGGGAAATGCATTTCTTTTCCCCTCAGGCCCTCATCCCCCGGCAGCAGCATGGGCATCCTCAGCACAATCTCCTCTGGGCCCAGGGCATACAAGACACAGAGCCAGAAGTGGGTGGACAGCCTCAGAAGCAGGTCTGAGGGCGGGGGACAGAAGTGACCAGGAGACTTATCTTCCCAGCTTAGCCCTGGAAGATACACCATCGACCTCCTCCACACCCAGGGGCGCTCACGTGGGAGATGCAACATCCCATCTGAGGCCGTGCCACAGACTGGTCTGGGCGTCTTGAGGCAAGTGCCCCCACTGTTCTCTGACTGCCAAGCACAGGAACACAGACTGAGGAGGGGGCTTACAATACTTTATCTTGTCCCACAGGATGGGGGGGGGGGGATTCCCAACAGCAGCTCGGGCCCAAAGGCTCGTAGGGGGCAGGAGAACCTACTGTGGCCTCAGTACAACACAGCTTTGCAGGCTCTCACACAAGGAGGATAGATGGATGGACGGATGGATGGACTGCAGAGGGGAAACATGGGAGGCAGGCTGCAGCCAAAGGCCCAACCAACCCGCTCCTAAGCCAAATGAGAAGCCCCTGCCTGTGGTGCCTGGCTGTCAGGGCCAGACCCCCTGGGAGCTGCTTCCGCCCACCCCCTCCCTGCTCCCAGGCCACAGGCTTGGAGACAAGCCTACTGTTTGTCCTAACCCAGCTTAAGGCTTGTCTCACATTTAATTAGTTTTCTTTTTAATTAAAATTACCTGAGCAGAGGTTTTATCAGCTTTTTAAAAGCAGAACATACAGAACTATACAAGCTAGAAATATCTTTAAAAACAAAAAAACAAACAAACCATGAACCAAAAACCCCCAAGAAGGCAAAGCAGAGCCCGGGCCTCCCGGCTGGGCCCCTAAAGCTAAGGAAGGCCAAGGCCCACATCCCAGATCCCCAGCAACTGGTACCATTAGGGGCCGGCCAAAGACAAACCGGCCTGTGCAGGCTTGGGGGGGCATGACTCGGAGGCTTCTCGTGGCAAGAGATGACTGAGCGCGTCTCGGAGGTCCCTCCCAAGGCTCAAGGGAAGTGGGTGAGATGGAGCCAGCGGGCTGGGCAAGGGGGCCCAGAGAGGGCACCAGGAGGCCACGCGGGAAGTCTCCCGTGACAGGGAGCAGCAGCGACAGCCGTCCCCTCTGGGCGGTCAGGACTGATTCCATGCCTCGACGGGGGGGTGTGGGTGGGGGGGCCGGGACCCTTGCGTTCCAGACCACGATTTGGAAAGGAGAGGTGTGCAAGGGGCAGAGGGCAGAGCAAAGCGGGCGAGTTGTCTCAGATGGACCCAAGGCAACAGCCCTGGAGGTAAACCCCCCAACCCGCGTCCTGCTGACTGGTCTGGAAAGGATAGCTCATTAAATAAAGCCTCCGGGGGAGAAAGCTGCGTCCGGGGAAGGCTCCGGTGGTCAGCCTCCCCTGAGCCGTTCCTCAGGGCTCCCTCGGAAAACGAGGAGAGAGGGGGCCCTGCTGCTGGCCTGGGCCACTGGGCAATGGGGGACGAGGAGCGAGGGGGCCAGGGTGAAGGCCACTGCGGAGGAGGGCACGGATGGGCACGCAGGACACAGTCAGGTCTGCAGCTAACAGGTTTGTTTGAGAAGCTAGGAACTTTTAAAACAGCACCCCCTGCCCCGACACACACACACACACAGATGCTGATGATTGATATAAAATTCTCCCCGTTACAAGATGATCATTGAATTGTCTTATCCTATAGGTGCCTGGCACCAAGAACTAACAATGGTATCATGATACCAACACACGGTCCAGAGCTGTCCCCGCACCACTCAGCAGGAACCCACCACCAGAGACCCTTGGGGGAAGGGACCAAGCCAGAAGACGCTCAAGGCTGCACCGACACCTGGCGGACGCCGCCGGTCGGGCCGCGGCTACGGGGCGGACGTCGGCCCCAGCCCTGCCCCCCGGCCCCACCCGGCTCCTGCAGGCCCTGTTGTGTGTATGGCTGTTAGCACCCATTCTGGTTTTTGGTCGCTGCCCGCCCGGCTTTGTCCGCCGCCGCTGCCGCCTTATTTCTGAGGTCTGATCTCAGCCAGTCTCTGGAGACATGACCGCGTGGCTGTCATGGAAAGGATTAGGGTGACCGTCCGTTTTCCCACCCGGTAGAAGCCGTAGCACATCAGTCCAAAGAAGGCAGCTTTCACGACAAACCTGGCCACTCTGCTCGAGATGGACGGGGGAGGAACGCTGCAAGACAAACGAAAGGCGGGCTTACTCTGCAGCTCCGCGAGGCGGCCTTCCCTCGTCGCGGGCCACTCTCACCGCGCGGACGCCCCCACCCAGAGGCGACCGTGTGACTCCCCGGTTCCTCGCTGGCAGCACAAGCAGGCCCAGGCTCGTCAGCCCGGCGTTCGAGGCTCCCTCACCTCCCCAGGCAGCACGGGGCCTCCACGGCAGCTGCTCTGCCCAGACTTACTCTCCTTCCACAAACAGCCTCCCCTCCTCTGGAGGGCCTACCTGCATGATTTCCCTCAGTTTCCCCTTCTGGAAAATGAGGGAATTGGCCTCAACGGTCTTGTAAGTTCCACCCTACCCTCAGACCGCATCCTCGGACCCCCGATCTCTCCCAGCCCCCGGTCACACTCCAACCCCCTCTGAAGGAAGGGCCTGGTGGGCTCGAGCCTCAAGGCTGGGGGACGCAGGCTGGTGAAGTGAGTAACGGATGAGGAATGCGCGCCGGCCCATCGCCAGCCGGCCGCGGAAGGCTCGGCCAGCGGGGCGCGTTAGGCTCAGGGACGCGGCTGCGCAGGCAGCTCTCGGGAGCTTACACGGGGGCAGGGCAGACAGGGCCGTAATCTGTGCTAGAGTCACTCGCTGTCATCATAGAGCCAAGGCGGGCAGGAGGGGGAGAGTCCCAGAGAGACACAGACACCAAGAGAAAGGGAGAGAAAGACGCCCCGGCTCAAGCGAAAGGAGGAAGCGGGTTCCGGGGGCCGGTCTTGGGGAGGCTCACCTCATGATCTCCTGGATGTTTAAGTCCGTGCTCCAGTTCTTCTCGATGCCGGGCACGTGGCCCATGCCCACCACTCCAACCACCACAGAGGGGACGCTCTTCCTGGGCTCGGCTGTGGGACACGGATGGGGGAGGGGAGGCCCACTGAGGAGCTGCCCCTCCACGGCATCTCTGACCGTGCCGGGGGATGGGAGAGCCCCGAGCAAAGCCCGGGCAAGGAGCTGGGGGCACTGAAGTCACCGGGATTCCTGGGGGATCCCTGACTCGGAGGATGGGCCACCGGAGAAGCCCCACCTTTGCCTGCCAAGGTCACATCCACCCCTGCTCCTCTCTCCACCCACCGTTCAGGGCCCAGAGCACAGGGCACCTCCTCTCCCAGAACTCCACCCCCAACTCCCACCCCATCTCTCCCTCCGGCATCCTCCACCAGCACCTCCAGCCACTCGCACATCTGGTGTGTGCCTTGACCTCTGTCACCCTACTATGTGCCAGGCAATGTGCTAAGCACTGGGGACGCAAAAAGAGGCAAAAGACAGTCCCCGCCCTCAAAGAGCTCCCGGTCTAACGGGAGATAACACACAGATAACCAACCATGTACAAACACAAGCTATACAGAGGGGAAAGTAATTAACCGCTTCCTGCCTCGGTTTCCTCATCTGTACAATGGGGATGATGACAGCACCTCCCTCTCAAGGCCATTGTGCTTAGCACAGGGCCGGGCACACAGTAGGAGCTTCACGCGCTCGCCTGCCTCCTCCCTCCCTGCCCTGCACATAGTAGGCCCACCCCTCACCTTCCGAAGCGCGAGGCAGCTCCAGACGCTTGGCAGCCTGCCGCAGCATGTAGGTCAGGTAGATGTCTCTTTCGGAGACGATGGTCCGATGGAGGTCGGGAAACTCGCCAATCATCTCCGCCATCATCTGCTCCAACAGGTCCTTCTGCTTACATTTTTCTACGTCGTCCTTACTGGGAACCCAGAGAGAGAGGAAGGGGCCGCTGGGGGGCCTGCTGTCCGGCCTGCCTCTGGGCCACACGGCAGGGAGGTGGAAGCCCGGACCGACGGCGACTCCTTGGGGACCCTGACCTGATGCTCGGGCCCAGCGCGCTCCGGGCCGGGATCTCAAACCCACACTCTTTTCTTTATCTATCTGGGGACACAAGGCAATGTTCTCTCTGCAACACTGGGGAGGAAACTAGGCCTGGAGGATTTTCTTTCATTCCCCGTTCAATGGCCCTATTCTGGTCTCTCATTGCTTTTCTCCCTTCTTATGAAGGACCCAAGCTGACTCCCAGGGCACTTGTCCAAGGGCTTGCTGATGGTCAATGGGGCAGAAGTCCAACCGCTCCTGAGCAGGCCGACCCCTGGGGGACCCTGGGCCTCACTTTCCTTCTCTATAAGACGAGGGCCTCTGAGCTCCCCGTGAACCAGGTTCCCAGATACGGGAGCAGCAGCGAGTGCCACTGATCTACGCCTCGGCCTCCATTCAAGCAAAGCCACGCCAGAAGTGGGAAGGTGACTCTGTGGAAGGCCCTCAGGCCCAGGCCCTCTTGTTCTTGGGTCAGGCAGAAGGAGAGGTGTGGCCCCAGGGCACAGTGACGGGTCTGCACGGGCCTCCCCCGGGCACCAACTGGGAAGATGGCACAGGACGTGCCTGGATCACTCAGACCTTCATCCTAGGCTAACTCTGACTCCTCAGGGTCAGCTAGGACCGGACTACAAGTAGCAGAGGCAGGATTCTCTGTGTGAATGCTGGGGTGGGGAGCAGACAGCCAGAGGGACACCCCCAGCTCCCCCCCAACGCCCCCCCCCAGGAGAGCCTGGACACAAGGGCCTGCTGCCTGGCCATGTCAGAGACGAAGGTCACCTGACTGACAGGTGGGCAGGGGGTCTGGCCCCGGGGCCACCACACCCTGACACCGGGCTCAGGGTAGGTCCTTGAATTGCGTCACCCACACGAGGGAGCTGGGCACCCCTCTGACAGCCACGAGCTCGGAACTCACGGCCTCACGAGGCTGTGCATCCTCTTTGTGAAGTGCTCTGATCTCTCTCTGCTGCGGCCCACAGAGAGTGCGTGGGGAGGGTTGGGGGCCCACATGAGCCTTGTGCCCCACCCGCCCTGTGCGCCTGCCTCCAGCTGGCCGCAAGCGCCCACTGTGCCCCAGACAGGCTATGGCCAGGCAAGGTGGGCAGCGGCCACCTCCCTGGTCCTAATTTTGGGACAGGATGAAACGGAGGCCACGTGGAGCTCACTGGCTGGCGTACCTGATGGGGTCAGAGAGGAAGCACAGGCCCCAGGCCAGTTTCACCTTCTGCCAGAAGGAAAGGGCCGCGATGGCTCTCTTGAAGGTCACCGGGATAGGCCTGTCCCCAAGGTGGAACTTGCAGAAAGGTACTTTACTGGCCTGCAACAGAAGTGGGTGGGGGTCAAGCACTGTGGGTGCCTGGAGAGGAGGGTTCGGCAGGCGGCGGCGGGTCTTGAGGGCACGCGGGCAGGGGCCTCGGTGGGTGTGGCCCACAGCCCTAGATGCCTAGCCAGGGAGCGGATGTGTGTGTGTGCTCTGTGCCAACTCTCAGGCGCCCTTAGCCTCAGGTAATTTTATATTTTGCAAGTAAATGATATTCTGTCTTTCCTGTGGTCTCCCTTAAGAAAAAGCTATTTCACAACAAAAACAGAGAGCTCTATTCACCACCAAACAGCAGGTGGAGAAGGAAGCGGGGGGGGGGGGGGGGAAGAGAAGGAGATAAGAAGAGACAGCCCAGCAAGACTCACTCACCTCCTCGGGCGGGTCTGAGGTTTCTCTCTGCCCCTCTTCCCTAAGGTGACAAGGGTGGCCCAGAGTTCCAGGGTGGGGGGACTCTAGCCACAAAGACTTGGGGGACACCCTGGGTCCTGTGAGGTGGGATAAGGGAGAATCCACCTGGATGGGCTCACAGACTACAGAGCCGGGGGCCCCCTGCCTCAGTCTGGGCCTCCCTGGGTGGCTACACGGCCTGCACTCTGACTCAGTAACAGGCCTCCCTGGGCTGACCAGGGCCTCGTCCCACTGAATTCTCAACTTCACAAAGAAAGTCTGGGGGGAGGGGTGGGTGGTGGTCAGAATGGAAGTCTCAGCTCCTCAGAGAAAGGGAGTGCTGGCTAGCTCCTGAAATCCCACCCACCAGTGATCCAGGAATGAAGCCCCCCCTCCCCCACCAGCCCTCTGTGCATCTGTCCCAGACCACAGCGTGGAGGGCGGGACACAGACCTGGGCACCTGCACTCACCTCCTTGAAAGCCTCTCTGAACTCGCCCCCAGGGGCCATCCCCAGCTGTTCTGTGATGTGTGCCGAGACCTTCAGAAGCAGCATCTGCATCAGGCCTGACATGACTCCGTTCTGGAGGCAAGAGGGAGGCAGAGTTTGTTAGAGGGCAGAGATCCAAGGCCTCCCTGAGGCTGGGAAAGGGCCGGGAAGGCCCCGATGCTCAGCCCTGGCTCTCCAGAGGGGGCGGCCCCCAGAGTACTGACAGGCCGGGCACCACACACCTGCTCCCTGTGAAGGAAGAAGCCAGGGAGGATGGGGCTGGTCACAGAGGACAGGAAGGACAGGGCGATGGCTGTTTTTTGGGAGGGAGAGATTGGGTTAAGATCTCATGATAATGGGAGAGGGGGAGAGTAAAAGTACAGATGTGGGAATGAGGTAGGGGGTACGTGGCACAGTCAAGGGGAGGGAGGGGTGGGGCCCAGTCGGAGGGGCCCCGGGAAAGATGCCAGGTGGCAGTGACGGGAGCGTTGGGCAGAGGGTGAGCCCACTCTGGGAGGACAGTGATGCCACTGCGCCGTGCCCAGGTCCTCAAATATTGACTCACGGGTACAATGGCAAGTTTGCCATCCGCAATTAAAGACAGGCTGTGGGCAATGTTGCCCCAACAAACACGGGAGGCCCCCCGGGACACCTGCACAGGCCTCATGACTCCAGCGTGGCTCTGCCCCGTGCCTCGAGGCCTGCCGCCAACCCCACCCCCCACAGCCGCGGCACTTGGCCCTTTCCGCGAGTCAGGGCCTTCCAGAGACAGTCACCCTCGGCGCAGCCAGGCTCCAGCCTCGTCTTCCCCTCCCCTCAAGCGCAGCTTGAAAAGGGTTCAAAGGGCAAACAGCCACAACCAAGTTTCACAAACAAGCCTCAGCTCCACACCCCAAACATTTGGCGTCTCCTGGTCTGGGAACACGCCCTCGCCCCTGATGGAGCGTCAGCCCCTTGAAGGCAGGGACCGTCTCCACACCCCCAGCACAGGGTCTAGGCACCAGGCAGGGCTTACCCGAGGCAGAAGAGGCAATGAAGTAGAGGGATGCACAGGGGCGGTGGGGGGCCTACCTATCTCATGTGGAGACAAGAGGCCAGCAGGACAGCAGGCCTCCAAAAGGTCTGACCACCCCTGTCCTGGTGGTGGGAGCCGACAGGGCCAAGGGGCAGGTCCAGGTGACCGGGCCAGCAAGCAGGCTGGCGGGGGAGTGCCCTTTCTCCAGCCTCCCAAAGCCCGCATGCCCTGTGACGCTCAGGGAAGGAGAGCGCTCCCAGCAGATGCTCATGGGAAAGTGGGAGGGGAGGCCCTCTGCTGAAGGGGAGAAGAGCCGGCTATGGAACACACAGATGACAAAATACCGATTACCGAAGGCTTCGGAAGGCCCAAGTGAGGTTCGGCAGCGGGCCAGACAACGGACGGACGCCGGCTACTCCAAAGGCGGGGATGGCATGCAGATGTCCCGGCCGGTGCTGGCATCAGGATGGCAAGGGTGGCAAGGGGAGGAAAGGGGGGCCAGGGCAGAGGTGACCGGCTGAGAGAGGGAGGGCAGCTCAGGTAGGGACAATCGCTAGGCACAGCAGGGCTGCGCCTGGGGGGCAGATTATGGACACTGGGAGGCCAGGCTGTGTGTACAGGCAAAGAACTAAGAATGAGAGCAGAGGGCAAGACGGCACTGAGAGGCTCTGAGGGATCATCACGAAGGGGCCCCCAGGCCTGGAGAGGCAGCCAGGGATGCAGAGTCTTCTGCAAGGAGCCAGGTTGCTGTTGGGTGCTAGCAGGTGAGACGAATGGGATAGAAAAGGGAGCTTGTTAATGACAGACGGGTGCCACACTGCCAGGGAGGGAGAGAGGGGGAGAGGGAGAGAGAGAGAGAGA